GCTATTACAAGCGCTAAAATTGCGTACGTTATTCTAAAACTCCCGCTGCGGCCATCCGACCACCGCAACCGCCTCTGGACAGTCGGTTGCATGCCGCAACGCCGTTCCGACGTCGCGACACGTCCAAACAAGCCGCGTCCGACCGTCGTATTAGGGAGTTTTCGTAGACCGCGCTGACCCCTCCGCTAAGCGTTCCGCAACGAAGAAGTTGCTACTGCGCCTGCGCGCCGATAGCCTTGACTGTGGAGTTCCCGCTATCGTAGCGGGTTGCGGAGGGCCTTGCGGGACGGCGAAGACGATCTACGAAAACTCCCTATTGCCTGATCGGACGTCGGATCGGTCGCTATCGTCGTTGGTACGCCACTGGGTGTGCTAGTCATCCTACGCGAAGTCCCGTTCCTGCGGTGCTCTTCTAGTGCGGTTATACGAGCTGTGGGGTTTTGAAGGGTGTCGATGAAAGGTGCAAGAGTTTGGTTTAACAGATGGGTGATTAGCTTTGAATGAAGACTGCGATTGTTCCTACGAATGATTGGGGATAAATCAAAATTGTCTATAGACGGCATGAAAATAAAAGGTGATATTAAGATTAATAGAATGTTTAGCTGCACCATGTTCTGATGAGGGGTAATAAAATATCGAAGAGTTGTATCGCAACTGATGCAAGAGGCGATATGAACCGAAGGAGAACACATCGTATAACTTCTGATGCGTCTTCGAGGAGTTGCCCTGTATTTTTCTCAGTCTCTTGCTGGGCGATGGTTGGATGCCTTCCTTTCGTTGTCGTCATTTGCGTATTTTGTGACGCGGCAGCTTTTGTGGGTTCAGCTGCCTCTATGTTTTTGAGGCGGAACAGGTAGTGGTGGTGTGCGGTTCTTGACTTCCCTTGTGGGATTGTTTAGAATTGTAGCGTAGACCTGCTGCACGTGCGTGGGGGTCAAAGCTGGCTTCTTTCGAACAGGTGGTGAGCTTTGAGAAGAGCTGGCTCCGACAACATGCACTATAATGTTCGCTTTCTCCTGAGGCTTAGGGGGGGACTCGATGTTCTCAACTGTCAACTCCACAGTATCGGTCGGTTCACCTTTTGGGCGGACTGCTTCACGATCAGTGATGTAATCGACCTTCTTCTCTGATCCGTAGTTGTTGATGTAGCATTCCTCCTTCTATTTCGGGCAGATGTAAAAGAAGGCTGCCCTCCGCAGTTGGCGCATCTTGGATTCGCGTTGCAGTCTTCTCTTTTGTGATCTTCAGCCGCACAAACGTTACATCAGGCGATTCGTCGGATGCGGCTGTGCGATGTCCGTGGCGTCCACATTTCGAGCATTGAATTCGGCGGTCTTTGAAAAACTATACTGTTCTTTTTTTACATGCACCAGGGTGACGTTAGTTGGCAGACATGGCGAGGAAAACACAACGCGAATGGTTGTAGTGGTTCCCAGACGTCGTGCGTTGGTGACGGGACAGCGGACTCGAAGCTGTGACTGCAGTATATCTGCGGAGACATATTTGATTATTCCAACAGTGGATGAGTTATTGCATGGTTCATAGGGTGTGACGGCGATGCCGCACAGGCTTTTGAGTTGGAGAAGTGTTTTGGTCGCTTGTCCGTTCCATGTGTCAACGGCGATGACGTTGAGGCGAGCGTTATATCTAACTAGGACGACATAGATGGGATGGAATTCTTTAGAGCTTGTGACAACTTCACGCTCTTCAGCGTTGTTAAGGCAGTTGTGGAGTCCTTTGGAGCAAATACCACCGTGAGTCCTGTTTGGTGACCTTGAGGGGAGAAGATAGGGCCTTCTGATGAGTTTGAGTTTGCGTCAGTTTTTTTACATCTCTTAGTTCCCTTTTTGCTACGCGCAGTCTTGAAATCAGCGCCCATGGAATCCGCGGTGTGAGATCCAGCGTCCTGTCATCGGTCATATGTCGTTCTCTCTGGAGGAGTCTTTGATTTTTGGCATTGTCGTCTGACGCGATCGGAGTCAGTGGAAGAACGGATTCCGCCATCTTGTCAGAGTCGATGGAACCATAGAGTTATTAACAATATTGTAATAACTCTATGGATGGAACCCCGCAAGCCAGAAGTGGCTTGCTCGGGGTGAACCGCTTTGTGTCGCTGAAATTGCGAGTATCTGTTCCACATTCAGGATTCTAAGATACCCATACCAGAAAGTTGTTGGTCGTTTGGTTACGCGTGATGTGCAAACTAAATGGAAATACGTCTGAGGAGCGAAGGGGTCAGTCAAATCCTTCGACTTCGTCCTCCTTTTTTCAGCAGAACGAGGATTCCAACACCCGCGAGCTCAGCCAGCTCAGCTCCGAACCCGGCCGCAAGCACCAGCATGTTAGCTTTGTGTATATAATATAAATAAATGTGTCGAAGGTTAATAGGGGTTCGATAAAGCGCTTAAATCGCGATCATATTTTTTTCTTTTTTGTGCTTTGTTAGCGTTAATGAACAAACGCTGACAGGCGCCGATATTCGAACGCAGCTTGTGTATGATCGAATGCTACGGCGCCGCTTTTCCAGTCGCGTCTTGGAGACGCTACAGCTAGCATTACATGGGCGCGTCTTGAGGACGCGCTCGTGCCCCTGGCTCAGCCCTGGCTGAGAGAAACAGGCATATCAAGCAGCATTAAAAGCGCAAGTCACTAGGCCTTTCTGTTTATGATTAGTTCAGGGATAAGAACACGTACAGGAACATGTTAGCGATGTAGTTTGAAAAGGAAATCGAGGGCAATGGTGGTGACCATGAGCTCTTGACGCTGTCTGATTGGTTCCATCAGCTCGTAGCATCGGCTGCGTCTGGACATCTGGACTTGAAACTACACCGTGGGTGAAACGGAGTATATACGGCGTGCAAGTTGGTCTGCTCTTTTCGCACCCTCGAGATGCGCCCATGTGCTGAAGCAATGATGGACCGCGCTTGGCTGCCTCGTCACCGAGCGTTCCTTGCGCGTTCTCTACGCTGCGCTTTGATTGGTCTGCCTCCCTTGCGCTCATATGTGCCAAAGACGCATTTGGAAACACTTGCCCGCCGTATACACCAACTCATGTTTACAAACAAACCGGAGCGCCCCTAGCGGACGCCACCGGCGCCGCGCATGCGCGGTCGCGGTGGGCACGAAGCTCGCCGTCGCCCATAAACAAACCATTGAATTGCGTTGTTGCCTGCGTCGGTGCGAGCCCCGTGCTCTTTTTCGCGTTGGAATTGTTGATTCTACGTCCTCCTAACAATGTCTGACTACTTGAGCGGCTTCAGCGAAATTAACGAGGCTCGTTACACCGCAAAACTTTGCGTGAATAATTTGACATGCGGCGATTCATCCCGCGTGGACGCCGCAGAATGGACGCAAAAGCCTGACTCCCACGATGAGATTCTGCTCGCTATTTTGAATCGGGACTTCGCTCGGGCTGCAAAAGCGTGGACCGTAGCTGAGATGGTGGACGTCGATACTGAAAACCGCTAGTAGAATCGGGCATTACAAGTCGTTGATGGCCACTGGTAACAATGATCAACATTTTCTTGTATCTATACTGTATCTATACTTAGCCTACTTACCTCAACCAACCTTCAAAAGTGTTTTGAGGCCTGCCCTTACTTCTTATCGCAATTACCGGATCAACGTTTGGTTTACGGGCCGCTTTCGTTTGAACGAGCTGACGACAAAAAGCAGACAAGTTTCAAAGAGCAGACGACAGTTCGAACGCATGCGCATGGAGTGCGGGCAAGAAGCACCGCGTCCCGGGTCAACAAACCATTGGAATGTCTCGTTGCCGGCGTCTGTGTGAGTCTGCATACTCTTTTTCGCGTTAGAAATGTCGATTTTGCATCCTCATTGCAATATATTACCACTTTAATCGCCTGAGCAAAATAATCAAGGCTCGTACGCCGCTAAACTTCGCTTAAATAATTTGGCGTGCGGCGATTCATTCGCATGAATGGACACCAAAACCATGATAAGATTCTTCTAGCTATTTTCGGTCGCGACGTCGCTCGTGCTGCCAAAGTGTAGAAGGTAGCGGCGATGATCGACGTCGATACTAAAAATCGGAAGCAGGGACAGACCAAGCGTAACAAGTCTGCGATACCACTGGTACCAATGATCAAAATCTTGTATCTACTGTTTACACCGAGCCTACTTAAGTCTTTTGAGGCCTGCAATTACTTATTATTGCAATCACCGGGTCAAAGTTTGGTCTATGGGTCGCTTTTGTTTGAAAGAGCAGACGACAAAAAGCAGACAAGTTTGAAAGAGCAGACAAAAGTTAGAACGATTAGGCGGCCGTGTGAATTTGAAGACGCACTGAACCCGCGGGTGGTCCCGACAGCTTGGCGGTTTTCTCTCGTTCAGGTTAGGATAAAACAAATACATCTGGCGACCACAAAGTGTCGCCCGCACAAGCAATCGTAGTTCGACAGCCTTTGGTTTTCCCTTGTCACGGCTACTATCCACGTTCTCGAACGAACGGAGGGGGCAGAAACACATGAAAACTGACCTTCAAACCTTTCCAGACTCTCTTGGTACAGGCCCCGTCGCAGCATTTTGACGAGAAGGTAGATTTTTTGTCTGGTTTTTTGGAAAAGAACACAGGAATGCATGCATGCCCACCACCCCAGACCGGAAGTGCGCCCGACGCGCCACCACCGCGGCGTGACGTAGGAGAGTTGAGTTGGTGTATAGCTCCCACAGCAGTTGTCGGGGCTAAAGTCGGGGCAAACTCTGAACGACGCTATGCGGAACGCAAGTTGGTCTGCTTTTTGCACAGGGGTTGCAATGATGCAGAACGCCGAGCTATTTATGGCTGATTGAAAAAAAAAGTGGGTAGATCTTAAGGCGTATTGGGGTCTACCCACTCTCCTGTCAATCAAAGTCCCTCAGAGTTTTGTTCTGACGTCACCGCGACCCCTGCACAAGAAGCAGACGACTCTCCGCAGTCGATTCGCGATTCTACTCACCGCGTGCCCCGGTCGCGTGCTCACTGGCGTTCTCGGGCCCAGCGGCGGACCTGCGAGGGCCCAGCCTGACGGGCGTGCGTGCCGAGTACCGGATCGGCCAGCGGATCAACGCCACCTGCAGCAGCGGGCCGTCCAGCGCCAAGCCCACCCTGTCCTGGCTGATTAATGACAAGAAGGTGAGTCCCCGTGGGGATCCCAGCTCGGGCTCGGCCCGGCGCTCGTTGGGTTGGGCTCGCTGTTGACCGCGTCGGCGCCCGGCTGGCGTGTCCTTCGCGCCGCCGGAAGCCGCTTGTTGTCGCAGCTATCGTTTGGGAACGCGGACGCTGGGCAACATGACCTCGATTGATTGGTCCGGCTGGCACCGGGCATCGGGACGTCGCATCACACGCGCGCGCTGGGCTCCAAAGGCTTATTTACACTGGAGCGTTTGCTGGAATTTTCTTACGCTACGTTTTGAGTAGGGTTTCGGTGTTTTCGGTGTGTACCGATAAACCCCGAACTCCCGTTTTGGGGGGGCTACGGCCAACAACCTTGAATCGGAGCTATCCAAGCTTTGTAGGAAGCAAATGTTTATCTACAGCTTTATTTTGTGTTGATACAGCCCCCCACCCACTGAACTGTGCGCAAGGCTGCTGTGACGCAGATCTACCTAGTACTTTGGGGAATCTCATGCTTGCGCCCTAGTTTCTACATAATAACGAAATATTGGGTGAACCGCGATTGTTCGTCCGACACCAAAAGTGCATACTGAAAAACGCCGCATATGTAAGACCCCATTCCCCCTCCCCGAACCTGAAAAAAAAAAAAAAAAAAAAAAACGAAAACATTGAACCTTAATTATGAGTTGGATTCCGTGTTCGCGGAGTTTATTTTTCGTCAAATTCAGAAGGTGTTTTTCGGAGTTTGTTTTGCCGAATATTCGCAGTTTATCGGAATTTATATTTGTTTGATTCCCAATTCTTTGAAATTCATAGTTTAATTTCGCAGTCTTTCCTATTAAAATAATAATAAAAAAATTAACCGGGTATGCTAGATAAAAAAATAAAACGTGCGTGTTTCCATTAATATTTCTTTAGCTAGATCTGGAGTTGATGTCGTTGCCATTAGCAGTACTAATCTACTGCTTGAATTGGTTGCCACGTTTCATTTGATCCAGGGATGTCCCACTCTCGACGTAAGCAGACCTCTTGTAACATATAATTAGGGTTCCGCGTTTTCGGTTTTTATTTTTTGAAAATTCGGCGTACTTTTTTCGGTGTTTATTTTAAAATTCAATTTTCGGTTTTTTTCGGCGTATATTTATGCCCACAAAAGTTTATCGGATTTTTTCAGTGAATATGAAATAAACACCAAGGGACACTGGATCAGATGATCCTTGTAGCTCTGATATTTGTGATCACTCAAAGAATAACGGCACATATGCATTGAAAAAGAAATGGACCCTTTATCTGGCAAATGCGTGCAACTGTAAAAAAACAAGAAAAGAAAAAGAAGTAAAGACAAGTTAGATATGAATCCTATGCCCAAAAAGCATGAAACTTTACCTTCTGTACATCAGGCTTACGTGATCTCATTATAGTACACACACATGTACATTCTAAGGTTCTCCTCGTTGATCCTCACTCTTTCTTTCCTGTTAATATGAGCTTAAGCTTCGAGAGTGCCCTCTCAACGCTAACACTGGACACTGGCAGGCTAATGAGATGGAGTGCTGCCTGAGCCAAAATCGGCCAATCAACCAATTGTGACCACCAAAAGAGACACGGTGCGACGTTTTGAAGCACAACACAACAAGCAGAGCTTGCATCAAGCCCTTACAACGCGTTTGAAAACACGCTCGTTCATGGCAAAGTCACGGGGCATTTCGGATATCACGTTCCGATCGATGATGCGCACATCACCAAAACGTCGTGATGGTATCCGTATATTTCATACATTCGGACACGTTTCGAGAGACACTGCTGTTGCACTTTTTCGCCCCGGCTCTGCGGGAAGGAAGGTCAAAGGGACCTCTCCCAGTTAAAACTGAATTTAAAAAAATGGATTTGTCGTACTTTTATTGGTTTAAATCGAAAATGCCGAACCTAAAAACTGACCTTTTTCGGTTAAAACCGAATTTCCGAAAAAAGATTCGGCGTACTTTTATCGGTTTTTATCGGTTTAAACCGAAAACTCCGAACCCTACATATAATCCAACGTAAGCAAGCTGTATTGTGTCAATGGTGTTGGAACTTTGAGGGTTCACAAAGAGGGATATAAAAAGCTCGTTGGAAATGGAACAGTATATACATTAAAGATTGGAATCTCGGTAGGGTGGCGCAGCGGGGTATGCCACTCCTCCTGCATATTCGTCACTTTCAGCGATGGTGGTACCGCGGTGTGAGAATCGCGCTCCCTAGCTCCTGGCTTCGCAATGAATGCGTTTGCCTACACCCTGCTGGCGTGAAAAAATAAGGCTCTAATGCTGCTCGTATATAGCAAAACTAGAATTATTATGTACGCTTCGCAGACCCAGGATCGTATACTGCTGTTCTACGACGATCATCCAGATGACAGCCATTTTGTTCGGTACCAGTGCGCCCCCTATAGGTTGTGAAAGTTGCGAATACTATATAGACATACCTTTGTTAGGAAGAAGAGATAGGGGACAAAAAAAAAATTCTTATATCTCGGAATTTGCGTTTGACAGTCCGGATGGTAGTCGTGAAATGCTTCGTATGACCGCGTGGAATGACCGACGTTTCTTTGAACGCAGCGTGCATACTAAGCAGCGCACAGAGACGCATGGTTGCACACTTGAAGCAGCCTTATTTTGATCTGCTTTCAATGGTACTCAGCCATCGTCCTTTCACTTGTCTGTGGCAGACGTTTGAACGTGTCCAATGTACCGGAACTCTGGCCGAACGGCAGCATCTTCAGGCAGTTCTTTGGCCGATTGTTGCCATCGATGCGTTTGGGGCTTTCAGACGAAAACGAGGGGAGCAATGTAGAAATGAATATGAATGGGGAAGTTTATTATCAAAATGTGCGCGGGCTGAGAGGACGAAGGCAAGTGAATTCGTGCATGGCCTTCTCGCGTCACATTATGACATTGTGTGTCTGACAGAGACATGGTTGCAGAGTGCCATATCTAGTTCCGAGTTTTTTCTTCACATTATGCAGTGTTTCGGAGGGATCGTGATTATGCCAATCGCAACTGTAGGTTAGGTGGTGGTGTGATTATTGCAGTGAGTAATACAATTATTGCACTTCGGAGTCTGACCTTGAGACATTTAGGAATGTTTGTCTGCTGGAGGCACAAGATACCTGATTGGAAATTACTATTTTGCACCACTCTCGGACTGAGCCGTTTTTAACGATCACATTGATACGTTGGAGTCTTTAATTGCTGCGTCCGACTGCCGTGTGCATATGCGGCGAAAGGTGGAGGCCTTTCGACGCGTTCAGTGAACGTAAAGATCGTGCCCGCTGTCTTTGGTGCTGTGGAACAAGTTACGAGACGGAAGAAACATCAAAACCCAAGCGTTTAGGGCTCCAGGCTGGGCCGCCGGGTCACTCTGGACCAGAGGCGACGTGTGTGCGCACGCTTTGAGGAAGCCTCCGCGCTTCGCGGCGCCAGACCTCGCCGATCGTGACCGGACCCCAAGTCCGAAAGGCTCCTGCGCAGCCAGGAACGGCACCGAGGTAGGGGCTGCTCGTTCTGCGCTACCATGCAGTTCTCTACAGTGCTTGGAGCTCTCGGTGTCGTTCGTGCTTGAGCCGAAGCCTTTGGGACCCCTTCGGACGCGCAAGTCGTACTTCGCAAAGCTTGGACGGGGGCCGCCCTCACCCGAGCAGCTTCGCTATATTCCGCATACTTATGATGGCAATAAAAGCTCGCGTTTGTTCTCGGGAAAAAATTGCGGGCGACCATACGGGACCGCTCTCCGTGCCGCCGAGGAGGTTGGCCGCCGCCATGCTCTCAGCTGTTCACTCGCTCCCGCAGCGAGCGCCTTCCCAGAATCCTCCCCGTTCCAAAATGCGATGCGACCTCCGTTTACATGGGCTGAATAAATGCGCACTCGCCATCTCGATCCACCTCTGTCTAGCGACTTTAATGCGATGCGCTCTCTTTGCTCATTATGCCGTTTACATGACCGCATTGAATGCGACAACTGGATTCGATGCGACTAAATCGCATTCATGTAAACGCGGCTATTGACTTTGTCTAGACTAGAGTGCATTGAAGGAGTCCAGAGACGCGTTATCCGTTTGATTTGCGACCGACACCTTGGTAAAAAATTTGACTATGATTATAACTGGCTACTTCGTAAATTGCAAATGACCACCCTTGCTGAGAGAAGAGATATTCGGGATCTGGTATTTTTGCATAAATTATTGAACGACGGAGTAGCTTGCCCAGGTCTGCTAATCGATATTAACATTCACGTACCATCTCGCTCCTTGAGATATGCTGAACTTTGTGTTCCCAGACATTCAAACCTCTCACTTCTCACAAGTATGATGGCCTTGTATAACAATTTTGAGTCGCCTGCAAAATATGCCTTTAGGAATTTTAGCGATTTTAAAAATGTAGTGGTAGCGAAAATGACACAGGGCATCTGCATTTTAATGTTGTCTTTGTACTTTTATTATTGCAGTGTTCGCATTACTTGTTTCGTCGTGAATGTATTAGGGTGTACCACTGGTAAGGCGTTTAGCTGTTGGTGGGCATCCTCAACTCAAGAATAAATAAAAAAACTAAAAAAACTTTAGTGCATTGAATACATCATTTGTGAAGGGTGTAAAACAGGTGTGGAAAAGGGGAACGCGACAGAACAGCACACGACAAAATTGCACATGACAAAACAGCACCGCGTCAAAACAGCACCGCGTCAAAACAAATAATCCACGGAGCACGTGGATTTTTAATAACGAACACAGGCGGCCATTCTGCCACCGCTTGTCTGGGGTTTGTGTCCGTGCAGTTATATGCCGACGCTAACACGATTTAAACACGCCCGAATGCCGAGGCCGGGAAGCGTAACCGCCTCCGTTGACTGCTACGAACTCGATCGCTACGAAGTCAACACAGCTGTCATCGTTGGTGAAAGACGGCCCGTGTCAGTCGTTTGCAAAGCGACGGAGATGGAAACAAATTGCCGCGGCGTTTTCCGCGGCCTCGGAGATGCAGGAG